GCAATGTAAAAGCACACTCACTTCTTTGTCCCTTCCTTGGATTCTTCTGCAGTCTGTGACCCTTCATGGTGAGCCTGTGACTCCAGCTCTCTAGCACGTCGGTGATGATGCAGCAGAAGAATCGTAGCAAAGACTTGGAGGGGGGGAGAGGAAGAGAAGCTGATGGGCTGCTGCAGCTGCAACATTTCTGAGCTTTTCCAGAATTGCTGCAGATGAATTGCAGTAGCTGTGTTCTTGTCTCCTTTGCCAGCTGTTTTGCAGAGGTGCAGACGCTGAAAAAGCACCTGCTTGGCTGATAATTTTCTTTTAATCAGATGGGATACTGTATTATGAATTTCTTAAAGCATTGTACGTGCGGTGTGGCACAAATATCTTTCAGTCTGTGTCGCCTTGCTGAATGATGGGTGGGGTTTTATAAAGTGGGTAACTTTTTAAGGTCCTGCCAACCTAGCAGTTCAAAAGCATGTAAATGCGAGTAGATAAATAGGTACCACCACGGTGGGAAGATAACGACGTTCCATGTCTAGTCATGCTGGCCACGTGACCATGGAAACTGTCTACAGACAAATGCTGGCTCTATGGCTTGGAGACAGGGATGAGCACCTTGCCCTAGAGCAGTGGTTCTTAACCTTGGGTTAATCAGTTGTTTTTGGACTGCAACTCCCAGAAGCCTTCACCACCAGCTTTGCTGGCTGGGATTTCTGGGAGTTGCAGTTCAAAAACACCTGAGTAACCCAAGGTTAAGAACCACTGCCCTAGAGTCAGACATGACTGGACTACACGTCAAGGGGAACCTTTACGTTTGCCTAACTTTTTAAGTAGAGTGTATTTTGGTGTAGATGCTCTTTTTGAATTATGAGCAGTGAGTGATGATGATAGGTTGGATCCAGGGGAAGTTAGTCATGCATCAGTCCTATTAAAATCAGTGTATCTTGTTGTTTAGTCTTTAAGTTGTGTCTGACTCTTCGTGACCCCGTGGACCAGAGCACTCCAGGCCCTCTTGTCTTCCACTGCCTCCCGGAGTTGGGTCAAATTCATGTTGGTAGCTTCGATGACACTGTCCAACCATCTTGTCCTCTGTCGTCCCCTTCTCCTCTTGCCCTCACTCTTTCCCAACATTAGGGTCTTTTCCAGGGAGTCTTCTCTTTGCATGAGATGGCCAAAGTATTGGAGCCTGAGCTTCAGGATCTGTCCTTCCAGTGAGGGTTGATTTCTTTCAAAATAGATCAGTTTGTTCTCCTTGAAGTCCAGGAGACTCTCAAGAGCCTCTTCCAGTACCACAGTTCAAAAGCATCAATACCTCAGCAGTCAGCCTTCTTTATGGTCCAGCTCTCAGTTCCATACATCGCTACTGGAAAAACCATAGCTTTGACTATTCGGACCTGTGTTGGCAAGCTGATCTCTCTGCTTTTTAAGATGTTGTCTATGTTTGTCATTGCTTTCCTCCCAAGAAGCAGGCATCCTTTAATTTCGTGGCTGCTATCACCATCTGCAGTGATCATGGAGCCCGAGAAAGTAAAATCTGTCACTGCCTCCATATCTTCCCTTTCTATTTGCCAGGAGGTGATCAGTGGCCATGATCTTCATTTTTTTGATGTTGAGTGTCAGATCATTTTCAGTGTATCTTAGTCATGAATAATTTCAATCCCATTGAATGAAACCCAGTTGCATTGGGATTCAATGCAAATTTCAGGTGTTCAAAGTCCTTTATAAAACCATCAGAGAGTCCTGTTCCACTTTATAGATTAACACATTTGACTCATGCTGTAATATATTGGCTGGTCTTTAAAGGTCCTTTTGGCTGTATTTTTTCAACAGACCAAATGGCTGTGCCTTTAAAGGTAGCTTCATATACTATACTTCACACACTGCTGCAGTGCATGTCTGCTGAGTGGTAATCCCCTTTGAATCCTTAGGGCTTTACTCTCAGGTAAACATATCTAGGGTTACAGAACACACATACAAAAGGGTAAATCTTGTTGAACTCAGGGGAGTGAATTCTTAGTAGATGCCCATAAGATTGAACTTTTCAGATTGAAGTATAAAATGCAAAAAGGAACATTTTGGTCAGAAATGCTTTTGCTGATCTATTCTTATGTAAGGGAAATCACATATGTCTTGGCAGCCAATTGCTGCTTATTAATGAGGTGGTGGTTGCATTTCTGGGTGTGTGCCCAGGAATATAACCAGTACTTCGTTAATGAGTGGCAATTGGCTGCCAAGACTTTCATGATTTCCTTCATGCAAGTGTAAATCACTGATGGGATTGTGGCCAAAGAACAGTGGCAGTGGGCAGAGTAAAAAAAGCTGTGATTATTACGGATGGCAGGTGAACCTTGGCTTGTGTTTTTGTTCTTTCTTGCACCATTCTGAACTGGTTATTTTTGCTAGGTCACATGGAAATGTAACATTTCTTTAATTTTAGTGCTGTGGACAGTATTGATTTTTCAACTTATCCTTCCTGTGTCAGGGGCTCAGAAAGACTGTTTATTAAGATTTTCCTGGATGTGTGTATAAAACGGTAAGCACAGCATTAAACCTTTAATATTTTGCATAAAGGACACTGGGTGAACATTTAATTTTTGGGGTCCTTTGTACCAGAGCTTGGATAAGTTACCTTTTTGGACTTTACCTCTCAGAGTCCCAAAGCCAAAATAACTTTTTCAAACTCTGCCTTGACCTTTTTGCTTCATTCCCCCCCCCATAAGCTGTGACGGTGGGGTTTTTTGCACCCCTTAGTTTTCTGTAGCAGTGGCACTTTGTTGTTTAAAATAGTGACAACATAATGACAGTTAATGAAAAACTAAGACCCAAGATTCTCTGGTATCAGTTTCATCCACTTTGAGTTAGACTTAAAAACAGTGACATGCCAACATTTAAGAAAAGAGAGAATATATTTGGGCCATAGATGTTCATAGTGTAATTTTATATAGAATGGAATCTCAGTGGCAGAAAATTAAAGGAAAACCACTGTTCTAAACCCATCCACTATTTCTAATTTAAAATGTATTTTGACTGTATAGCTCATCCCCTTATGTCTCATTTCAAACAGAAGTTAAAAGGAGCATATCAAAACATATTAAAACTGAATTGAGATTGACAGTGCAGATGTAATGAGTGTGTGCTTGGAAGTAATTTCATCCTTTTACTTGTTATTGTGCTCAGAAATGCATCTAAAATCAGACTTATAACCCAGCTTTATATTAAACCTGTTTACTCAGAAATCCCACTCGTCTCACTGAGACTGGCACTTGCAAACTGCTGAGTGGTGAGAAATTCTAGGGGCTCCGATGTTCACCCAGAGTTCATTTTCTTTAGATGAAAGTCACCGGAGATTTAAGATAATGGATTTTTAAGTGGAGTGGGCAGCTTTGTGGGACTAGGGCCAATTTCATTCCTTGGGACCCATCCTAGGACCTTACTGCTACTATGCTAATGAAATTTGGGTGGCACATCATGTCTTCCAGAAGTCCACTTAGAGCAATACTTTTCTTTAAATGGTCTTTTTCTGCCCCCCCCCCCAATTTTGGCAACAAACCACCATGTGCCATTTAAAGCAAGGAAAGTGCCTGCTATAAATGATGCTTCCTAGTTGGCACAGAAGGTCAGCAGCACGATTTACTGCTAAATTTTCATTGCACTCTTTCTTGGGGTTCTTTGGTGGGAGTGCAAGAACAACCTGTGTGGTGTGTGTTTCTCACACCTGATTTACCCTTACCTACAGCCTTAGTTTAAGATGAAGATTCACAGCAGTAATACTCCCTACAGCTTTTGTTTCCCATCAGGGAAACCCACAATACCACAGGATTTCAAGCAGATAACAACATCAGCTGTCTCTGTCTCCTTAGTTCCAGTTCCAGTAGAAACAAAGACACCTCCACTTTTGCCAGGTCTTAAAAGATATTACCTCCAGGCACCCACAGCTCTGTTTACAGAATTCTTAGAGTCAAGAATTACAGAACTAGGTAGAATACTCTTTGCAATCAAAGGCACTTGGCAGTAAGTGATTCCTTTGTTATTCGCCATCCAGTTGTTTCCAGTTTCTATGAATTAGTGACTATCATAAGGTCCTGTTATTAACAGCGCTGCTCAGATTTTGCTTACCCAAGGCCATGGCTTCCTTTACTAAGTCAATCCATCTCATATTTGGTCTTCCTCTTTTCCTACTCTCCCCAACTTTTCCCAGCATTATTTGGAAAAGGGATCCCAAAACAGGTTGTTTAAACTAACCCTCATCTCATTATGTTATGTTTAAGATTGCATTCTAGAGTTATCAATTTCTTCTCAAACCTTGATCCTTTTGACAAAGCGAGCCTAACTATGAAAGGCTGACAATGCTTGCAAAAGATTCATAGGCTTTGATAAATTACTGAAGGAAGAAATACCAACAATGCACACATATCTCAAGGATGCTCACAGGTCTTACTTCTGAGAGGTCATTCTTGATTTTAGAAACTACAGTGGGACATAGATTTCACATTTTTCTTTAAGAACCCTGATTATTTTGAAATATACTTCCACCTTTTTGAATAATCTTTCTAAGCATGTACAGTACATGCGGTTTCCACCTGGAGTAGTGTTTTTCACTAATTGGGTGATATACAAACTCAGACATAAAGACATGTAGTTTCCTTCTATATCTACAAGCCAAACCAGCAGGTATAACTCCCCAAAAAGCAGCGTGCCACAGTGCTGGTTATTGTTCCTTCCTTGTTTGGCCGTGTTATCACTGCTTGCGGCAATGTTTGGAAATTTAGTGTTGCTTGAAAATATATAGCAACATAATAGGTTTCATTAACTCAGTTTGTATGTAACAGTAAACTATGTGTTGCTATCACAAGGGCAAGCTACAACAGTTCTTCACCTAACAACATTCTTAACTGAGGTGTAAAGTTGGCTGTTGCCAGCAGCCATAGTTGGCATTACAGTACACTGAAACAAAGATTTTGGAACCAAACAAGAGAGAAGAGCAGGATCCTGTTTGGACAACCTGTATTTACAAGGGCAGTCATGCAAGCAGTTCCCAGTCAGCACACCTCTTTCATCCTGTCACAAGTCAGAGTCATAGAGAGAGAATGAGCATATTAGAATATTCTCAAAAGTGTGTGTCCACAATATTAGCATGCCCCAAGTAAAATATTCTCAAAAGTGTATGTCCACAATATTAGCATGCCCCAAGTAAACAACATTCTTGTGGTTCACCAGCACAAGTGGTGTAGCAGACAGTCTAGTTTACTGATCTACTAGATGGACTGACTTGTTCCCAGCAGGTCCAACAAAAGTACAGGTTGGGCAGTCTGCCTTTGTCTCCTGAAGGAAACCGACTGCAACTTCATGCAAAACAGTGAGACATCACAAATTGGGGGGGAGGGGGAATCATTTTTAAAAATAAGAACTTTCCAAAATCCATGAATTTTGTAATAAACTTGATAGAATATGTGAGATATTTTTTTAAAAGTTTTTAAAAAGTTGAATGTTGAAGAAATAAACTTGATAGAATGTGTGAGATGTTTTTTAAAAAGTTTTTAAAAAGTTGAATGTTGAAGAAAGCAAAATATGGCTTTTCCAGTGCAGCGAGGGCTTTGAGTGTTTAGCTGTTAAAAAACTGATTTTGAATCTTTATTCAGCTATTGCTACCTTAGGTGTTTTTAAGGAGAAGTGCAGGGTAAAAATATTTTAAATAAATAAACCTATTGCTACCTTAGGTGTTTTTAAGGAAAAGCGCAGGGTAAAAATATTTTAAATACATAAATAAGCAAGCAAGCAAGCAAGCAAGCTGCTAGGGCTGAATTAGGTTTGCACCACTTCTTTCTCCTCAACTTTAATAGAGACATGATGATTAGGTACAATATACTAATTACATGATATCAAATTAATTCTAACTTACAGCTAGCCTTTCAAATCTTCTAGGTAGAGAGTACTCAGAAGTGGTTTACCATTCCATTTTTTTGGGCATGCCCTGGGACTTTGCAGCTTTCCCAAGGCTACACAGGCAATTTTTCTGGGCATGCCCTGGGACTTTGCAGCTTTCCCAAGGCTACACAGGCAACCTGTATTCCTGGGAGACACAATGTGGGATTGAACCCATCCCCCAGAACTGGGTACTTGCTTGCGGTGCAGCGGGCATAGCTGTCATCATTCGCACTGCACCAATTGTGGAAGTAGCCCGGCTGGGGCTTCCCCGCTCCCTGCGCTCAGCAGCTGAGCTGGGAGACTTGTCATCCTGCTTCCTTGCCATATTGGTGAGCAGTGCAGGGAGGTGGAGAAACCCTGGTTGGGTTGCTTCCGTGATTGGCACAGCGCGAATGACAGCAGCCGCACATGCTGAGAGTGATGACAGCCATGCGTGCAACGTCACAAATGTTAAGTGGACAGCCTGGTTCTGGGAGGAGGGTCCAATTGGCCCAGACACCTGTAGTGGGAATATTTGTATTTGTCTCTCCGGAGCGATGAATACAAATATTCTATATAGTAATGCCTAACAGTGTCACCAAAGTGACCAACATGAGTTTGACCAAACTCCAGGAGGCAGTGGAAGACAGGCGGGCCTGGCGTGCTCTGGTCCAAGGGGTCACGAAGAGTCTGACACGACTTAACGACTAAACAACAACAACAATGAATATGGCCAGAGCTGATGACTTAGAATTTTATTTGATTCATTTTTTAGAAGAAGCAACCAATTAATACATTTCTCAATAAAGGGATAAAAATAACTTGAAGCTGACAGCAGTTCAAATGAGTGGGAAAGAAAAACGGATGGCTTCATCTATCCTTACCTTCTGCTGACCTGTGGCGTGTAACATGCAGTAGTTGTTCATTTCCTGCTCTCCTTGCCTGGCTTCTTTTCTGTTATCTGCTGCTCCAATATACACTCCTGTTTGTTCCTGTCTCACCCCTCCCACCCCCATCTTCGGTCAGTGCTTCCAGCTGTGTGCTGCTTTCTTCCCCCTTTGCCTCTGCCTGGTAATCAGAGACGGAGGTGGCTTGAATACCATTTCAGCTTCTGTTCTGAGTTGGCAGCAGCAGTTGGCTGCAATGGCAATGGCAGCAGCATTAGTTCATTGAACTCTCAATGAGCCTCCTGGTTTCAAAAGAAAGAGGCCACTGGTGCTGAGCTAGATTTTAGCAACATATATGGTGGGGATAGTTTTGCCATGCTAATAATCACCTGGGAGCAGCAGCTGCTTGCCCCTTGTGAGCAGGCAATTGGCAAAGTGCTTTTCTGTCCTTGCTCATTTAAACAACAACTAGGGTAACTAGCAAAGCTTGGGAGGTTCAAATTTTTCAGATGTCAGTTTCTAGAATTTCCCAGCAGACATGCTGGCTCAAAAGTCTGGGAGTGGCAGCAAAACACTATCATTTCCAAACCCTGCTTACCACCCTATTTATATTGGCTATAAGGCTTCATTGCTTCTGTGCTGCTTGTACAGCCGTTCCAGTAGAGTTTAAACTCCATATATTCCTTTTGATTTTCTCCCATCCCGATTTTGATGAGCAGAACAGCAGCTATGTGGTGTCACCTTGGACTGAGAGATGCTTTATAGAGGTTGGTGCCTTGAACTTCTGTCAAATTATTTCTGGCTACAAAAGTCGATTTTGTCAATCTCTGAAATTGTTCTGTCATGTCCTTTTTCAAATATCTGGAAGGCAATTACAGCCTGTTACTTAAATTTCATGCTAGACTGATCTTGGTCAAATACAAATCTTAAAGGGTGGTCACAATAAATCCCAACAGTAACTGGATAGTGTAAATATACTTGTTGTAGCTTGTTTGTTGAGCTAGATACAGAGGAAGACAGGTGCCTTACATTTAAACCCCTTATGATCTGATATGTAGGAACTCACTGTCCAACAATTTACCATATTTTTCTGTGTATAAGACGCCCCATGTATAAGGCACCCCCATTTTTCTAACCCAAAATTAAGAAATCTAAGTGGGGCTTAGGAAGTGTAGCGGGAAAGGGATCAAAGTGCTGCAGGATCGCTTTGATCCCTGCTTTCTCCCTTCGTGCTAAGCCCCATGGGGCTTAGCAAAGGGAGGGGGAAAAGGATCAAAGCAATCCTGCAACTGCATGATCGTTTTGATCCCTCTCCCCCTTATGCAGCCACAGGATTTCTTTGATTCTTCCCCCCTCCCATAGGACTTAGCAAGCAGAGGGGAAAGCAGGGATCAAAGTGATCCTGCAGCGCTTTGATCCCTGCTTTCCTTTTGCTAAGGATTAGCAAGTGGAGGGGAAAGCAAGGATCAAAGCCCTGCAGGAACAATTTGATCCCCTCCACTTGTTTTTGTACTCTCCTCAGTTTACTTCTGTGTATAAGACGGCCCTCAATTTTTAGTCTAAAAATTTTAGACAAAAGTATAGTCTTATACACAGAAAAATACGGTAATTACAAAATAACTCCTGCTTGTAGCAGCACTTGGTGTACCTCTGTAGCACTCCTACACTGGCATCAGCAGCAGACTCTCCAGAGCACCCCAGACTAGCTTTTGAAGTGACTAGTAGTATCAAGAGCCTCTGCAGAGTGAATACAAATTTTAATACAATAAGGATTGCCTATCTGATCTAAACAATAAAGTTTTTACCTTGACAAAGCTTTTATTGAATACAGTGCTCACAGTCTATGGCAATTCACACTTTCAATTTAACATAACTCAAGTGTAGTCTAAGAGCATGACTAGATGGAGGAAGTTGGAGTGATCTGGGTCACGCTGAAAAGGTTATTGTCTTTAGTTCAATCTGTTTTATCTCACACTTGAATGACTCTTCCATTCACATAGGAAACATTTCTTCTCCTGTAAGAAGGATCCAAACAGATCTCCGGATCACTCCAATTTCTCTTGGTTACTGATCCTGCCCCTGCTCCTTTCCCCACCTTTTGTTGCAACTGTCATTCTGCAGGCTGTGGCAATTTCCCTTTTTAAAATTTTATTTAGTACCTCGCCTAACATTGCAGCAATACATCAACTTAGCACGGTTGCTCCCTTATATATCAAATAACACTGCATCACTTAGGAGAATATTTTAAAAAATGTGAGAAGATGAAAATAGGGAAGAGGATTTCTCTGCCATCTTTTTTACTGTCACAACTCACTGCATTTGTGATAGGGATGTCACTGAAGAGAACACCACCCAGAGCTCTATTTGGGAGTGAATTAAGCAACCACACAGATGGCACAATGGGATAATCAAGAACACTTCCAACTGCCTCAAGTATTCTGCAGCCCAAATGCTGTGGTAGAAAGGAGTGGAGCAGTTCGTAAAGGGGATTGGATTGATTGCTCTCACTTAAAACACAAGTGGTCTCCAGAACACAGGGAAAATCATATCACACCAAAAGTAAAACAAATATCAAGCTATATGCTCATCTGATTACTCCCTAAGTTACGGTGACCTGTTTTTTTAATGAAATAGCACAGTGCAGATATAAATACAGCAAAAAGCATTTCTTTTTATTTCAGGATGTAAACTGGGTTTTAACTGGGTTTCACAGAGATCTCTAGCCAGGGAGCTGATCCCCTCAGAAAACCTGTTATAGGCTTGCAGCATTATCTTTTCTTTCAGATAATGCATATAGTGTGTGGTTCAGTTGTCCGAAATTAGAACAATGCATCTCTGTCACTTCATTTTTACATGGGTGTGAGAAATAACCACATTTATAAAAAGTAGGTCTACAATAGTGAGCAATAGACACACACTGAAAAAGGAATTGATGCTTTTGAATTGTGGTACTGGAGGAGGCTCTTGAGAGCCCCCTGGACTGCAAGGAGAACAAACCTATCCATTCTAAAAAAAATCAAACCAAAGTGCTTACTGGAAGGACAGATCCTGAAGCTGAGGCTCCAGTACTTTGGCCATCTCATGAGAAGAGAAGACTCCTTAGAAAAGCCCTTGATGTTGGGAAAATGTGACGGCAAGAGGAGAAGGGGACGACAGAGGATGAGATGGCTGGACAGTGTCATCGAAGCAACCAAGATGAATTTGACACAACTACGGGAGGCAGTGGAAGATAGGAGGGCCTGGCGTGCTCTGGTCCATGGGGTCACAAAGAGTTGGACACGAGTAAACGACTAGATGACGATATGTTTGCTGGAACAACAGATAGTTTGGTGACCATTTTGCAGAAGAACCTTTTTCAACAAGATTTGTAGCCTCTGTTGTAGACCCCAAACAGAGGGAAAGCTTAAGTCTTATAAATTGCCTGTTGGTATCAAAATTATCTCACAAATCTTGCACCCAGTAGAATACTGCTTTTTGTTTTGTTTTCATATACAGTAGTAGTTCTCCTGCATCCGTGGTTTCAGTTATCTGTGGTCATTGCTGCTGCAACACAGCCTATGGTGCACATGCTCACTTATCTCCTCCTCTTGCCCTCCTCACTCCTTTCTCTCTCACCCACAGATGTGGGGGGAAATTACTGCACATTGTGACAATGCACGGCAATTTTGAAATATACATTTTAAAATAAAATAGCACTAGCATAGATTTTACTAACACAGCATAATCAAAACTGTAAGAACCAAAACGTCTGCATTGTCGTATTGCTGTTCAATGTAAATTCTGAGATTACTTACAGCAATGATTATTTTGTGAAAGATGCAAAGTAAATCATTCCAAAATCTGTGTCATTGCTTTTCTGTTAGTCATGTGAACTCAGCACATTATTGTGACTGTTGCTGATACAGTATTCACCATCATCACCACTGGCGCCACCAACCTTAATTCCATTTTAATGGAACTCTTTTTCTCCCCTCTCCTGCCATCTTTCTACGGATTTCCATTAATTTTCACCCTCCTTTCCCCATCTGCCTCTGTATATATCTTGCCTCATTTTCATACAGATTTTGAGCATGTGCCCTAGATTCGTTTTTGTACAGTGTCTAATAATTTTGGAACTTTAAACATTACAAAAGGATTTAGAGTGTCGTCGTCATCATTGTTGTGTGCCATCAAGTCAATTCCGACTTATGGGGATCTTTTTCAGGGTTTTCTACATAGAGGGTATTCAGAAGTGGTTTATCATTCCCTTCTTTTGGGGTACCCTGGGACTGTACAGCTTGTCCATGGCTACACAGATTGGCTCTTTTCCCTGGAGACAAAGTGAAAATGAATTTCCAACCTCTGGCTTTGAAGCCAGATACAGTATACTGTACCTAAGTCACTCTGCTATCCAGCCAGCTATTGAAAGTGCCGGGGTACAGAAAATACTTTTGTTAAGAGTGTTTGGGACAAGTTGAAAGGGAGGCAGGTATTTATAGGCTCAGGTTCCCCCAACATTTTGACCTTCCAATCTTTGGACTACAACTTCCATAATCCTGGCCATTGGCCAGGTTACCTTGGGGCTGATGGATGCTGGAGCCCAAACACATCCAAAGGGCACCAAATGGGGGAAGTCAACAGATATTTCTTGTAGGATCGGGTACAAGCAAAAACTGGCTTTTGGTATGTATGGTAGTGTGGGCAACACTGTAATTCTTACTTTTTAAATATATGATTTGGAGCTTAGAAGCATGTACCTTTTGGGAAACATCATTACCAGCATAATTTTAATGAGTAACATGATGACTAGTAAAGACAGTGTGTTTTTTTGGCATAAAACATAATGTTCACTTATTCCTTCTACAAGATTATTGTTTTAGGGTCATTTAGGGGATTTTGGGCATTTTTTTTCCATTAAAGCAAAGTGTGTTGCTTATATTAAGTGTACTTTTAAAAACTAGGATTTGGGCATTTTTTTTCCTATTAAAGCAAAGCGTGCTGCTTATATTAAGTGTACTTTTAAAAACTACTAAAATCAAGAAAAACTAAGGAGTAGCATAAAGAACTTCTGTTTCGGGGTGAGGAACCAGCAATGAAAATGTCCTACCTTTTAAAAGTGATAAGTAATGGGCTGCAAAAATATTCCATACTTTGATTTGATGAGGGTGGGCATCAGGAAAAAGCATTAATGAGCAGCTGCTAGGGTAGCAGAACTCCTTTGTTTTTTAACAAAAGGGAAAGGAACAAATAACAAAACTAAATTAAAATACAAACTCGGTAGTGACTGCACACAATACACATTAAATATTTTCCACATGTGCCACCTTCTTCCTTGGGACTAGGCCACCAATAATATCAGGGGTGGCAGAACTGTGGCATTGCTGATATCTGTTGTTGACCCTCATAAATTTCGTTCTCCTGGCCCGGCTGTCAGGCACATCACCTGGTAATTAAACATTTTCATCATTCCCCCCAATGTCCCCAAAGCATTATGGGAAATTAAAATGATGCATAGATGCTACTGTTCGGTGAGCATTGGCACCATAATACTAGTTTTTCAGGACTGGCTGGTATAGGAAGGCCTCTAGCTGGGGACCTGGGCTGGATTAAGACATGCTAAAACTTTAAGCTATATCAGATATAAGAGGCCTCATAGAATTATAAAAGGTGCGCCATATTTTAACAGATATATAAATACAGATACAGATATGTGTATATATAGGCATATGTAGTTAGAGGTCCCTCAAAATCTGAGGCCTTAAACCATGATTTAATTAGCCTGAGCATAAATCTGACACTGAGGTGGACCTGTGTAGGATGAGAGCACACATTATGTAAGATCTCATGGCCTTCCTTTGATGGTACTTGGAAGAAAAGCACATTTTTGAGATTTATTTGGTGAAGCATAAGCTTTGGGAAAATTAGCCTAATTAGAACATTATCTAAGTCCCTTTGATATTTATAGAATGGTAAGATATGCTGAAATGTGGTTGTTATTGGTTGGTTGGCTGCAAAATCCTCTTGCTATTGTAGGACATGATTTAAGTGCAGCAATGATCCTGTCTTTCCTCAGAGGGAAAGCTGTCATGGGCCTAGTGGCAGGATTGGAGGGGTTTCTGTGTGCTGCTGTGGGGGAAGCAGAGGTAAGTGGACTGTAGACCAAGGAGGGTGGTATGGAGGAACTTGACTTTCACTGGACCCAGGCAGCAGAGGAGCTTGGAAAAGTTACTTTTTTGGATTAGAGTTCTCAATCGTCTCTCTCTCTCCCTCCCCCCTCCCCCCTCCATGCTAGCTGGGGGGGGTTGTAATTCAGAATAGTAACTTTTCTAAACTCTGGACTCTGAGTGATGAATTTAGGAGGAAGCAGAACCGAGGAGTTGGAGAGGAGGAAGAAGTGGCCTAGGGAGAATGCTTGTGTAAGACCTCAGGGTCTGACTAGTAGTATCTGTTGGAGACGGGGATTTCAGGAGATAAGGATAGGGAAGGGGAAGGACCTTCTGCCAAGGACTGGCTGAATTTGAAAGCAAAGGTTTTGCACTATATGTTATTTACTGAGTGTCCTTTGTAATTCATGGCTAAAACTGGAGATACTGGTAAACAGGAGCACTGCTGAGACCTGTGTGCTCAGTCAAACTCTATGACTGTATTTTGTTTCATGGTGAGTTGCTTCACAAGGAAGGCATCCTGACAGAAACCCAGAGATGCAGGAGAGGGGAGGCTTAACCTTGCCTGTTGTCTCTTTCTTCAAAAATGCCTTGTTAGCTGCTCCCCTTTGACACAGGATTGTGAACACATGTTTACTCTCAAACATATCTAAATCCTTATATTTTGAACCTTGTAAGATGTATTGGTTGAGGGTGCATGGTGGGAGGCAGTGATTTGAATATCAGTGTTACAGACAAGAACAAGGTTGATCCATCTTTCTCCCTGCTCACTTCTCTCACTTACGTTTATGTATAGGGTAAACATTTTGTGTATCAGAGAGAGAAAGAGAGAGAGAGAGAGAGTAGATCTAGATTTTCATACACAATGTGCATATGCAGAGATGCAGCATTAGAAGTAATGATCTATCATTTAATAAAATAACATACAACTCTCTAGAATGGTGAAGTGATCTGCTGACTGTGCTCAGGATGCTCGCGGTCTATGGGGTTCACTATAGGAAGTGCAACTTCAAAGCCTCTTTCTCTATCCATTTCTCTCCTTTCCCTTTACAATCTTCAGAGTAGAAGATCTCCACAAGATAATACATCCACATTTAAAAAATGTCCTTTGACATCACTTCAGATCAAGAACTGGCCTCCATAAAATAGTATATTGTCTACTGATTACATTCCATTTACAGTGGGGTCTTGACTTGAGAACTTAATCCGTATTGGAAGGCGGTTCTCAAGTCAAAAAGTCTGTAAGTCAAGCCGTCTGTAAGTCAAGGGTCCACTGTACCAGAAGTATATTGTTATAAATTATTACAAAATATAACTTTTCTGCATTTCCATGGCAGCATTCTTAATGCAAGCCCACAGTTAGTCCTGGGAAAGGAAGGGAGTGGAAGTGCACATTGCCTGATTACAAGAGAGATTGACAGACACTTCAAAAGTTAGATTTTTGGATCTAACAGTTTAGATTTTCACTTGTATATTTACGGATTTCTTGCTGAGTTCTGTTTCAAGTGTTCAACAGATTTAGAAGAACCTTTTACAGCTGATCAAACATACTTTTAAAAAAACAAATAAGCCTACAAATAATGCTATTTTTTTCTATGTGTCTCAGCATCTCAAAGGACTGCTGGAAGATTGGGCCTGGTAAAATACTTTATTGGAAGAACTTGGGGGGGGGCGGAATCTGAACAAGCAGCCCTGTTTAAATGGGGCTGATCTTTAAGCCTGGCACTCTTACACTGTCCCTGTTGGATAATTTCAGGCCAGTCCTGTTACAGTTGTCCTTTCTATACCATGGATGTCTGTCTCTCTAATGACTCATCTGTTGGCATCTTTCCATTGGGTGGGAAACAGCTGCCATTTTAATAATACCTCTGGGTTGATTAAAAGTCAGCCCCCAAAGTACTAAATTTGTGAATGAATGGAAACAATATGTACATTTTTTTGTCTTATGTCTTTTGCAGGTATCCTGGAATTTATCAGTATAGCAGTGGGCCTGGTCAGCATTCGAGGGGTAGACAGTGGACTTTATCTTGGAATGAATGAGAAAGGGGAACTGTATGGCTCGGTAAGTTTTTTATAGCTCTAAAAAAACCTTAGCCTCTGTGTTTTTTATTCAGTCAGATTATCACGAGTAGGGAATATCTGGCCATCAAAGTAATTACATACTGCCTGAAGCTTAATTTCACAAGATGTGGTGAGGGAGAGAAATGCCCCCACTCACTTCTGGTTGTGGCCCATCCACTGCTGATTTTAACTCCTCCTGTCACTGGAATGCATATTACCTAGGAGGCAATTCATCTTGGTCTCTCTCTCCAGTCTCGTTTTATGCCTGCTGTTCTGGGCAGGAAACTTACAAATCCCACATATCTTTATTTCCTTTCCTGTGAGTCCTGTGCATGAAAGATGCTATTCTGTGCAGGACTAATAATCCTGTACAGCTTTGGATTATTCTTGCATTTCCTAGCAGAATCCTTCACTGGAAAGAACGTCAATCTGTGCCAGAAGTGTAAAAATCTTGTATAGCTTGGCATTCCTTCTAGCGAAAAAAATTACCATAAGAAATCCAATAAGAGTTCCTGTGAAATTTCTTGGGGAGGGTAGTGGAATCTTGTGTAAAGAAATCTCACTGCAAGGAGAAAAGCCACATACACCCCTTTGTTTCTGAGGGCATGGATGAAATTCCTAATTTAGGTTTTAATGTATAAGCCTTATAATACTGGTATGGTTGGAGGTGCATTTATTGTATATTAATACTCAGCCCATCAGCTTCAAAAGGCAATGAAGGCAACACTCTATATAAAGTTTGTATAGAGCAAAAATGTTCAAGTAGAGATGTATGGAAAAAGTGGCAGAACAGATGTGTTTCTGATATTGATTACTTTTATTTTAAATGATAGAAATGAAGACCTATTTTGACTGGATCTGGAAGATCAAACAGGCTAACAAAGTCTTTTTCCTAGAGCTGATGATTTTCATGTGTGGTGCTTGTTCATTTTACTGTTTTTGCTAGATGATGGTGGATCATAAACGGGATTGGCATACCAGGATGAGCATAAAGTGTAGCCTTGGAAAGGTGATGTGAAGGCTTTGGGTGATTTTATTTTTGGAAGATTGGCAGGAATGTGTGTAGAAATAAATTGATAATGCAGAACACATAAAGCTACTTTATATCAAGTCATGCCATTGGTGTAGCCCAGTATTATCTACTTGTACTGGTAGAGTTCATACTCAGCCTTGCTATCTGAAATGCCCTGGAGATTGCAGGCACTGCGTCTCATTTCTTTAGCATGCGTTTTGCCTGTCTTGTCCTACTTGGCTGAATCATTTTCAGTGCAGGATATACCTCACCAGTAAGCTTAGGGGATGAATTTGAAACTCTAGCTGACAGTCCTAATTCAGAAATACCGGTGGCCGAGCATGACTTGTCCAGAGAGTGCTCAGTGCTTCCATTTGGTGACAAAACCTCTGAAAAAGAACACCCTTTTTCCCAGGGAACACTGGAGACTCAAAGTACAGTGGAAATGGAGTCAGCATCTTCAGAGACATACCAGCTGTTGAGATTAGCTGAGTAGGTGCAGCAATGGTGCTGTGGACAACTGCCTTGCCACTTGCTTTCAGCTCTTGGCATTCCTTGTTTCCCTTGATTGATGGATCTCCTATGGGACCCAACTGCTGCTTCCTGATAGGACCTCTGCTTGCTTCCTGGCTGTATTATTGACCTAGTAAGACTTTGATTCATGACCTCAATTGGCCTTCTGACAATTCTTTAGCTACTTCTTTGGACTCTAGTTAACATCTCCCCAGTGTCTTAACTCTGCTTGGCTTTGAATTTCCCGTTTCATCATGACAGAGACAGCTGTTTACAGGGCTTTACTTTGGACTTGCAGTCACTTAATGAATGTGAAACCAGGAGACTGCCATTAGATTGTAGGCCATATTCAGAAGAAATAATTTTAAAGGTTGCAGTATAATCTTGGGAGTGCAGGTATAAGAATTCTGTGTATGACAAGATCCTAGCTCAAACACTCAGTCTGAACACATGAGGCAACAGGGCCTGAAAGGAACAAATCACAAGTTGTATGGCTACCTGGAGCAATTTGCTTTTTGTAGGATTAATGAAATTGCAACAGAGTTGCATATAAAAGCATTAAATATGTGGAGATAAAGTTTATTGGTGTAACAAGCAATGGTAGAATGTTCTGTAGTTTCCTGCTCACCAACACAGCTGTGGTCACATCTTAATGTGCATTTTTAGAAGCATCAAGAATTTCTCAAGTTTTATCCCTTCTGTTATCCGTCCTATGAGTTTCTGTTAAAAAAATAGGAAAGTGATGATCAATATAACAGAATGAGATGTTTTGGTAAAACTCTAACAGCGTTAGTTCTTTAGAAACATAATGTAAACAGAACAAATTACTTTCAGTAAGTAATTGACCCCTATGAGATATCATACTATGTTGAATGGACTGTATGTATGCATATTTCATATAGGATGTCACAAAATTTATTTGTAGGCAGGGAGGCAGATCTCAGTCAAGCAGCCCTGAAAGAAGAATAAGTCTGATTTTTGATCATTTTCTTTTTTTAATTTGTAGTGTAACACTATAATTTAAAGCCTGGGGATCCATAACTTCATGCATTCTCAGCTGGTGCCAGGGTGCACTGGCTCTTGGCCCATTTTCTCTGATTCCACTTACAATACCTCCCATAACTGGCCCAGAAGCAATTCCAGTCCCCCTCCTAGTCCTTACCTATTTTGTCTTTGGAACATCACAAGGAACCACCCATTAGTCTCAGGTTTGATCATAAAATCCTTAGAGAATGGGAGATTCCATGGCATACTCATCCAGTCTTGTGCCTGCCTTCCTGAACTTTGCCTTTCCACCACTCCAGAAATTTGTGCATTCAGAACAGAAACAGATGCAATAGATAACCTGTAATTAGTGCTGACAGCATTTTTATGCTGGACAGCATCTCTGAAATCAGATCTCAACTGAATCCTATGTTTTAACTCTGAAGAACAATCAACAAATGAAGCAGGCTAATTAGCACACTCTAGGACAGTGATGGCGAACCTAGGGCATGCATGCCACAGCTGGCATGCAGAGCCCTCTCTCTGGGCACGCGAGCCCATAAGTTGCCATCGAGAAAGACCCGTCCTCCAATCCTGGATTTCAGCATCCCCCTCTGCTGGTGCAGTGGTCCAGTGGAGGGGTGCAATGGCATCCAGTACCGGTCTAGCCCGATGGGGGATTGGAGGACCGGCAAGTATATCTCTGTGAATACCGCCCCTAGGGGGGAAAAATATAAGCATTTAACTCTTGCAGTGCAGGGGCAGTTGTTTTTTCTAAACTAAAACTTCAGTATTCAGGTTTAATTGTAGTGGTGGCACTTTGAAACAAATAAGTTGGTTTTGTGTTGCAGTTTGGGCACTCAGGCTCAAAAAGGTTCGCTACCACTACTCTAGGATGTGAGAGAGTGTTCTGGGGTGCTCTGTGATACTCAAATAACTTTCTTTAGTTAAGGGTTTTCCTCTTCTATTTGTAGGCAGCCCATATTATCTGTTTTTGCCCTCAGATTGAAGCTCTGAAGAGGGATTCCATGCAGTTTTAAAAGCTTTCCTTCAAGCAGGCACTCTGCATCAACAAAATGTCTAGTGAAACAGAATGTCTTCACTGGTTGCAGAGATAATGAGAGACATTAGACAACAAAAAAGCCCAAACCCAAGAGAGACAGAGTACTAATTAGGAGAAAATTCTGTAATCTTAGTACTGCTATTGAGAAGTCTTAAGCTTCTGAAAGAGAGGAACATGGTGCAGGGTCTCTGATGTAGTAGTTAGGCAGACCCCATAGGGAAAAAATTGGTCCTCCAAATAGTCAACCATCAGAGCTCTAAGTAGAGGAGGCCACTAGGGCTTTGACCCAGGGTACCAAAGTTTAGAGGGTCCAAAATTTTGCTGCTACAAGGGAGTGAGCCCACCAATTGGCAGTAGCTTTCAGGAGAGAGTGCATCTCAGGTTCAGTACAAATTGTGTGTAGTGCTTAGACACAGAGGTTCCTCTCCTTTCCTCTCTCAATGTATGCCAGATTCACATGGCTCAAGCTTAACCTATATGGCAATCAAGTCCAGGGCAACAAATTTGTTATTTGCGCTCTGCCTTTTCTGATCCCGAGCCATTTAGGGGTTTATAATAATAGAATATCTCCGGGTTTATTGCATCATCAGGCAGTCTTCTGCTGTGTGATAAATAGATAACCAAGCAGCTGAACTTGCATTCCTAGGTATACATGTGGCTAATAGGAGCAGCCATCTTTTCTCCCATCATGAAATAGTCTGCTTGTCTAAAGAACCCTCTCATTATGAACCTGTCTGGGTATGGTCCAAAAAAAGAGGTATTTTTACATCCCTGGGTAATTCTGTATAACATTTTCAGATCGACAAGATAGACCATTGAAATCTGACTACTCAGACATGGAGCCCTATGCAGCCATTCTGAAACAGTGTTTACTTAGCACACTTAAAACTGAGTGCTGTAGCATCACCCCCTCTGTTTTCAGTGCTGTCACTCTTATACATGTGGAGAGCAATGAATTTCAAGAGGAGAGCCTCCCCTACTCATAGAGGCTCTCCATGTGCATCAGGATTTTAAAGAATCAACATCCATGTTTAGGAAAACAGTGACACCAGAAACAGAGGGGGCAGGCCTCTGAGGTAGGCTTCTCTACATTTGGTAAGTAAGCCTGATTTCTGAATGAGTAGGTAGGGATTAAGTCTTCCTATTTTCAATGGATCTTACTGGCAGATAGGTGCATAGGTTTGCTGCTTATTAAGAGTAGGAAAAATTTTTACCTAACAAGCAGCTGTCTGCAATTTTGATATCAAAAGGGAACATTATTGCATTATAAAGAGGTAAATATTGAGGTTCTTAAAAAGTGTTTTAATTAGTAATTTTATAACTAAAAACCAAATGTTTAAATGTATTGTAAAGAGAAGCATGAAATTGCCTCTTTTTTTTTTTACTGGTCCAATGGATTTGGAAATTTGTTAATTCTGAACATGAGCTG